TACACTAGTGTACATCATATCTGTGAGTTGACCTATGGCTCTATTTACTATATTTAATACATATATATACATATATATATATATCATAAACAATAATTGTGACAGTTGTGCTCTGTATTTGACACCCACATAGCGTGTTTTTAGTTATAATATTTCGAAGAAAGTGACCAAATATTTGCTAGGTGTGTTTTTTTATATACTGTTTTAAACTTGACGCGGTCATTATTTATACGTCTAATTAGTAAAAATCACGGGATCTTACCACGTTTTATATTTATTTGCCGAGTTCCCGATATTTCGGTAGTGTTTCTACAGCCATGATCACGGGTAAACTGAAGAGCAGCGGGTAGATGGAAAATGAAATCTTTTTATGGGCAGACATATGCGTCTACCTTCACACGTCTTCGTTTGTTGCTACTACTGGAACTCGCTCGATATTCATCTCGGCAAACTGTACTCACAGTATCTTTACGTATATTTAATACACTTATCGGTCGCGTTTTTTGTTTTTGTCTAATTAAACCAATCACTGGATTCCAGGCATTAGGTCTCACAGTATGAAAGTATGGGAGAAAGTGATAGAGAAGCGATTGCGTGATGAGACTAGTATCACCCAAAACCAGTTTGGATTTATGCCAGGCCGAAGTACCACAGATGCCATATTTGCACTGCGCCAGCTGTGTGAAAAATACAGACGTGCTCACAAGAACTTGCACATGGTGTTTGTGGACCTGGAAAAGGCGTACGATAAAGTACCCAGACCGGTTTGTGGTGGGCCCTGAAAGATAGACGAGTGCCAGTGAAGTATGTGGAGTTGATTCGTGCTATGTACAGTCAACCTCGTACATACGTTCGGTCGGCCGCGGGAAATACCAGCGAGTTCAGTGTGGCTGTAGGCTTGCATCAGGGGTCGGCTTTAAGCCCGTACCTCTTTTTGTTGATAATGGATGCCTTGACGTCGGAGATACAAGAAGAGGCACCCTGGTGCATGCGATTTGCAGATGACATTGTGCTCGTTGGTGAGGAGGAGCTGAGATACAGAGTAGATTGGCGATATGGCAGCAAAAGCTGGAAAGTGGTGGCTTAAAGATAAGTAATTCCAAAACGGAATACATGTTTTGCGACTTTGGCGGTCTTTCTGGCTCTGCAGCCATATCACTAAATGGAGTTCCATTACCGATCTGCTCCGATTTCCGGTATTTAGGTTCACTCCTCCAAAGCAATGGCGAATTAGACCGAACCATAAAGCACAGGATTAACTCAGGTTGGATGAAGTGGCGGCAGGTTACGGCGACGACGTGCGACTCACGAGTTCCCCTTAAACTTAAGGGCGAAATTTACAAGACCATGATCCGGCCTGCTATTTTGTATGGATCAGAGTGCTGGCCCATAAAGGCGACGGATGAGAGACGACTGCATGCAACTGAAATGCGAATGTTGAGATGGATGTGTGGTGTGACGAGGATAGACAAGATAAAGAATGAATACATCAGAGGAAGTATGAAAGTGGCACCGGTGTCAGAGAAGTTAAAGAGTAATCGTTTATCGTGGTATGGGCATGTAATGCGTAGGAATGAAGATCATATCCTAAGGACGGTGTTACATATGAATGTGGATGGTTATAAGGGTAGAGGAAGACCGAAAAAGAGATGGATGGACTGTGTGAAAGATGATATGGTGAGAAAGGGAGTAAATAACGGAATGACTGCGAACAGAGATGAATGGAAGAGAAAAACATATTACGCCGACCCCAAATAAATGGGATAAGGAAGAAGCAGATGACTGGATTCCAGGCATTAGAGAGCCTATAGCTGTCTTCTCGATTGAAATTTTTTGTTTTTTTATTAATATCTTGAGGTCGAAGACCAGCTCGAGACTCTAGAGGTTATATTATTATTTATTTCAGGCCACTAGGCCCATGTTATACATACCTTATAGACTAACATACATATGAAATAATATTTTAAAACTAATCTTAGATATAAAATTCTCGTGTCACAGTTTTCGTTCCCATACTCCTCCGAAACGGCTTGACCGATTCTCATGAAATTTTGTGAGCGTATTGAGTAGGTCTGAGGATCGGCCAACATCTATTTTTCATCCCCCTAAATGTTAGAGAGGTAGTCCACCCCTAAATTTTTTATTTTTATTTTAAGGCAAAACGTTTTCCGGGACAGCTAATATAATATATATTAGTAATCTATACATATAAATAAAATTGGAGTGTCTGTTTGTAATATTGATATAACCGTTTTATACTACATGCATATGAATATAAATACGGTACATACACCAAAATAACATTTTTTACAATTTTTATCTGTCTGTCTGTTTGTTCCGGCTAATATCTGAAATAGCTGGACCGATTTTGACGATTTTTTTTGGCAGGTATCCGATGTATTAAGGAGTAACTTAGGCTATTTTTATTTTAGAAAAATAAAGTTAAATTCCACGCGGACGAAGTCGCGGAAACAGCTTGTTTTTAATAAAAACTGTTTATTTGATAGAAAAAACATATTTTTTGTGGTACTTGAAGGTGTTAAAGCCTGTTGTTTGTAATATTGAAATAACCGGTTTTTACTACGTGCATATGAATATAAATACCAAAATGACATTTTTGTACAATTTTTGCCTGTCTGTCTGTTTGTTCCGGCTAATCTCTGAAATGGCTGGACCGATTTTTACTTTTATTTTAGAAAAATAAAGTTATATTCTACGCGGACGAAGTCGCGGGAAGAGCTAGTGATAAATGAAAATAATAGAGCGATGCTTGAAGACGTTTATTATAGCAGAGCACAGTGACAGAAGTAATATAAAACAATTGTATATAAAGAACTCTCATATTTTAAACATGGATAAACGTATATAAAATCTGCCAGTGACTCTCATTGTAGGTCTAACAATATATTAATACTAGATTTTTTTTTTTATGATAATGGAATGGTGCACCCGCCTGCGCTAACGGTTTACGCTGGCGGGGCACCAGTGGAGGATGATAAGATGAGCATGAGGTCAGGTCAGTTAGCCCATCGTGACAAATTCACCAAGAATTTGTCACGTCATCTGTTATAATATCAATTTAGATAATAAACAAAGGTTGTTTATAGCAATGGGCATTAAATAATACAATAATACTAAGAGATATATACCAGTTGAGTTTCTTGCCAGTTATTCTTAATTAAAGCTAGCTAGCTGGACTGTAGGCATTGTGGCAAAACGTAATAATTACAACGTAAGTGGCCGGAAGTACCTATAATATATGAATAAAAAAGAAACTTTACGAATTAATTAAAACATATCATGTAATAAGCAATACACTTATACAGCCTTGTATTAATTATAAATAAAATTAAATAACTTTTATTATAATTATTTTAAAATATAAACGTGTTAGCAATAAGCTCTAAGGTTTTATTAAATTAATTTAATAAATAATTCAATTTCATTGTAAATAATTTCATAAAAAAAGGACTTATATTGATTCAATTATATGAACAACTTTTACCAGTCAACCAAAAACCTTACATTTCTTTAACAAAGAACCCTAAAAACTCAATTAAATAATACCAGTCCACTTATAAAGATCCAATTAAGTAATAAAAACAATATTGACCCTACATGACCATATTCGACAACCATGTCCGAGTTACGATTGCGTCCATCTTGAATCTTGGCTAGTGCTTCCCGCGCTGTCATTGACTGCGCATGCGTATTACAGTGATTGTGTTGATAAATAAAATAATAACATTACATTAATGTAAGTAATATTTGTTATTAGTTTTTCTATAAAATGTTGATTTATTGAATTGATATTGAAATATTGGGGTTAGTATTAGAGAAATTGTGTTAAGATATATTAAAAACTAGTTTAGAATTGCCGTTCATTTTAGATAAATGACTAGTTTTCTTGTTACCTACATAAGTCTTGATCTCGTTACGGTTTAAAGATTTTGATTTTTGTGATAACTTTCAAAGTATTATATGTTGCTTTATCTTAACATATATATATTATTAGGTGTGATTCGCAACTTGGTCGGCTTGAAATTTACCTCTTTTTTATTAGAATAAATAAACTAAAATTAACCCAATCTTCTAACATTAGCTAACTGCGAATGTAAGTCCCGACAAAATTATTCCAGTCGTCTCAGAGATCAGCAAGATTAACAGACATACGAACAAAAATATTAAATTATTTATTTGATATTAATACTATAGCATGAGATTTTTCCAGAACCCAAGAAGGGTTAATAGTGTCTAACATATTGTTATAAAAATTTTCTTATAACTTTTACGGCTTACCCGTTAACAGGTTCCGGCATGACGTCGACTCCAAGGATGTCCCACCTGTATAAAATAAATAGAATAGAAATCCTTCATTCAAATAAACTTATTTTAAGCACTTTTGAATAATCATGACAATGTTTTTAATCTACCGCGCATTCGGAAAACTGTCTCATCACAAGAAACTTGCGTGTTACTCTTTCAAATAATCCTTGTAACTTTACATTTTTAAGTCGAAACGTGTAAATTCAAATTAACAACTAGCATTAATTTATTAGGGACAAATATGCATACACAATAAGACGAAATCAGTCGTAATGATTAGAGCAGACCAGTCCCTACAAGCAGCACTCGCTCACGAGTATGACGTATGAGTCAACCATCACTGCGCTCGACCATATTTTAGTATAAAATAAATAAAATTGAAGAGTTTGTTTGTAATTTCAAATTAACAACTCTCAACTAAATGCATATAAAAGTATATACAGTACGTACAACAAACAAAACAAAATATCTACCTATTTGCTCTTGCTAATCTCTAAGGGTCGGCAACGCGCACGTGACACCCCTGGTGTTTCAGGCGCCCATAGGCTACGGTAACCAATTACCATCAGATGGGCCGTATGTATGTTTAGTACACCACAGCGACTAAAATAGGTAAGACCGATGGTCATTCCAGAGGAATAAAGTGCCATTACCCTGTAATTTCACTGCCATATGTCATACTTCAACCGAAAAACATCTTACAAAGGAAAATAGGTAAAAATGTGTATATATATTTTTTATATTAAGTATTTTTAAGGCCTTGGAAACACCCTTCCAGCCAAATAATTACATACATGATACACATATAGCTTATCTAATAATTACTACTGTTAGAGCGTCCTTATGGTATTTAGGATGAAGTCATATATAATCTGATAAGTTTCAGGTTTTTGTAGTAGATGACAATTTTTTTTTCGGATCACTCTAATGCTGTTGGCCGCAGCTGGCCTTCACAGCTTCACCGGGCGATAGGGAGCGAGTGCAGATGGCAGTCCAAACCAGTGGAAGGACTTATAGAGTGGCTGAAGGCCAACTCCCGCCTGACGGATACGACTTTAGTCTGAGGGCACCGCTAGGAGTTCGAACCTCGGCTCAGGTCGTCGTAACTTCGATCCCCGTTTGAATTGGACGGGGGATCGATGTGAAGTGTAGATGACAAGAGCCGGTTTACTTCATCTATATTATACTAGCTGTGCTGTTCGCGACTTAGGGGCTGTTCAAGTATTACGTAAGCAGATTTAAAACAATTATTTACCCCTCATCCCCCGTTGTCAGCAATAGTAAGCAAAGCTCTTACCCCTCCCCCCATGCTTACGTAAACATTTCTCAATTAATGTATTGTTTTTTTAACAAAGACAATGTGAGGGTTGCCATTCGTGTAAAAAAGTAAATTACGACCGATGACGTAATCATCATACAGACTCCCCCACCCCCCTGTCATCCAAAATAAGCAAAGAAAAGACCCCCCGCCCCCCTATAGTGCTTACGTAATACTTGAACGGCCCCTTAGTTCGCGAGGAATATTATTTAGGATTAGGTACCTTCCTAATATTATTTATTATTTGTTGTACATTTGGAATGTACAACAAATAATAATGACGTAATAACATGTAACTAAATTCGAAAGAATCCACTAATGACGACTTAAATAAACAAAACAATGACCCAAATAAAGAAAACATACTATATTAAAATACTATATAATGTTTTCGTACGCAGTAAATTAGAAAGTAACGCAATTATATGGAACCCACATGAGTCAAAATATATACTCATGGTGGAGAAGCTCCAAAAAAAGTTTATACGATATGTATATCAAAGGCAGTACGGTTATAGAGTCACATACCCTAATATATATCCTACTATGTTTTTGTTGGGGATGGTGGGATATGACACACTCGAAGTAAGACGGAAGATTGCATTAATGGAATATGTACTCAAAGTCATGAGAGGTGAAAATGTAACCAAGCTGTATTGACATCGGAGTCCATAAGAGCGCCCAATAATTACGTACAAGCACGAAGACGAAAATTGTTTGATGTTCCATAGAGAAGAACAGAGCTGGCCAAACAGGCTCCTATTTCTCTGGCATTGAGTCTAGTCAACGATGTAGTTAGTGGCTTTCCAGATGTAGACATATTTACTTGTAATTTGCTGGAGTTTCGTATGATGGCAGTAGATTATTTATGTAGTATGTAAAATCTTAATTTTAATTAGGTATTATTTTTCTTTTGTTTCCTTGTGTGTATGTATGTATGTAATTAGTATTTATAATTGTGTGTATTTGTATACAATCTTCCTAAGCGTGCATATTGGGAGACTGTAAAGCTTACTTAGTATGACGTAAATAAATAAATAAATAAATATCGTCTACCATCTCTATGAGACGGTAACGCATTTTCGTGACCGAAGTATCGTAATACCCAACGTTATATAGAAGTGTCACTTCAAAAATCAAAATGTGTATTTCAGACTACGCAATTCTAGTCTTGGAAAATTAATGAAGCATGATTGAGATCATTGTCTGGATACGATAACAATCTATATATGAACAGGACAAACAAACAAAGAGAATATAAATCCAATTAGAGCATTAGCTATGTGTACAAGGTCACTGAGATTTAGTCATCATTACTCATTGCCTACGAGTTAAGTCATTGAACGTTTAAATTTTACCTTCCTTATAAAAACACTTTTATATACTACTAGCTGTACCCGCGAAATCGTCCGCGTAAAATGACTGAGCAAATAATGACAAAATATTTAATAATCTGACCCAATGAATGCCAAATAAAAAAGTTTCAAGCTTCTAACTTTAAAAATGACTATACTTACATACAATCCTTCATCACCCCTTTCAACCCCTTTCAACCCCTTACAACCCCTTACAACCCCCTTACAACCCTTTTTCGTATTAAAAAGTAGCCTATGTGTCCTATCTCAGGGTCTAGACTATCTGTGTACCGAGTGATTCGACCGGCAGACCAGGCAGTCAACTCAACTTGTGTTTTTCATTACAGAATGAGGGTGTTACACATTGTAGCGCTTGCAGCGCTGACTGTAGCGGTCAACTACCGCACCACTGTGAAGCAGCAGACAGAGATCACACCACAGATTACATCTCTCACCGACAAGGTAATTCACTAGTTTTCATCATCATCTGCTTCTTCCTTATCCCATTTATTTTGTAGTCGGCGTAATATTTTTATATTTCGGACTACTCTAATGCTGTTGTCTGCAGCTGGCCTTTACTTGCTTGCCTGGATTTGCTTGCTTGCTCGATATGTTTGCTTTGACGACCTCGGTGGTCTAGCGGTCTAGCACACCTTTACGTCCGATGGTCGCGGGTTCGATTCCTCGCACGGCATATATTTGTATTCATGAGTATGATTGTTTGTATCGGTCTGGGTGTTTTCTATGTATAATATGTATGTATTTATGGAAAAAAATCTATAATATATATATATGTATCAGTTATCTAGTATCCATAACACAAGATTTAGCTAGCTTGACTTAGGTCTAGATGTCGCTGTGTGAATTGTCCTGAGATAATTTTTAATATTATAAGCTCTTGTCTTGAAGGTTTCAATATCGTGTCTCAGTTCAGGTTTATAATATTAGTAAGATATATATATATATATTGATTATAGCATATTATGTTTTCAGGATGCCAGAAGAAAAGCATCTGTACATCCTCTGTTTGCTAACGCTGGACGCCAGGCTGGAGTTGAGGTCTGGAGAATAAAGGTATGTAGACTGGTAGAAATTATAATTAATTTTGTTTACTCACAGTCAAATTATCATCCAAATTTGAATTTAAAAATGAATCTGTATTATTGTAAACATGTACAACATTTATTTGGAAAGAATACGAGCTGAGTTTCTTGTCAGTTCTCATCTCGATATCATTCCGAACTGACGGTAGATTTGTCATATCATAAGAGTCTGTAATAGACCTACATGAATATAGATATTTTGAATTTGAATTTACTTACTAACTGACATCGTCCGTGTGGAATTATGTTAGATTCCACTTCTTTTTTTACAATTTACTTTTTGTATTACATAAATAAAAATTCAAATATAAAGTGACCTAAGTTAATCCTTATCTACATATAGTAGTGAATGTACAGGGAATTAATAAGTAAAGCAAAATGTTATTTTGGTGTATGTACCGTATTTATATTCATATGCATGTAGTAAAAAACGGTTATTTCAATATTACAAACAGACACTCCAATTTTATTTATATGTATGTATAGATATAGAGAATTAGTGTAGACCTTACCTTTTTACTAAACTGGACAATAGGGAAAAACTTGAATTACAAAAAACTTGACATTCATAAGCGGCTAAAATGTCCTACATGTATTAATGATTTCTGTTTTGATTTGTTTTGTTTATCTAGGAGTATAAAATATATTTTACAAGGTAATCTCTAGGAGAAGAATGCCCAGAATTTGATAACCTTATGTTGTGTAGATAACGACAGATAAGTTATGATCTCGCGTAAACCAAACCTAACAAATCATTTTATTTTACACTAGCTGTACTCGCGACGTCGTCCGCGTGGAAGTTAATGTTATTTTTCTAAAATAAATATAGCCTAAGTTACTCCTTATGACATCAGCTACCTGCCAAAAAAAGTCCCATCAAATACGGTCCAGCTATTTCAGAGATTAGCCGGAACAAACAGACAGACAGACAGACAAAATTGTAAAGAATTGTAAAAAATGATGTTTTAGTATGTGTACCGTATTTATATTTATGTGCATGAAAAATGGTAATGAAAAAATGGTTATTTCAATATTACAAACAAACACTCCAATTTTATTTATATGTATAGATATAAATTGACAGAAATTGTATACATTATCTATATATAGTCGCAGATTCGATTCCTCGCACGGCACAAACATTTGTTTACACGAGTACGATTGTTTGAATTGGTATGGGTGTTTTCTATTTATATTATGTATTTATTTACAAAAGGTATTTATACTAGTTGTCTAGTACTCATAACACAAGCTCTGCTTACCGTGGGACTAGATGGCGCTGTGTTAATTGTCCAGGGATATCCTTATTATAACGGTGGCTCTATACATCCTAATTTGAATTTAAAAATGATTCTGTATTATTGTAAACATTCACAAGCTCATTTGAAAAAAATACAAGCTGAGTTTCTTGTCAGTTCTCATCTCGGAATCATTCCGAACTGACGGTACATTTGACATATCATAAGAGTCTGTAATAGACCTACATGAATAAAGATATTTTCATTCTATTTGACGGTCGAGATACTATGAACTAAAATGTAATAAATTTTATCAATTTTTTATTTCTTTGTACGAGGCTAAATATTTTTAAGTTGGCAACCCTGATAGATAAATTGTTGTTCCAGGATTTCAATCCGGAAGTGGTATCACAGAGAGACTACGGCAAGTTCTACAAGGGAGACTCTTACATCATACTCAAGGTATAATATAACTTTTTAAACGAGCATTTAAAATTTAAAATCCTATGACGCAGTTTATTAAGTACTAGTTGACCCGCGCAACTTCGTCTGCATTTCATTTGCAATATTAGTGTGGTGGTGGTGGGGACCTTTTGCAATATTTTTCATTACAGCTCCGCTCCTATTGGTCGTAGCATAATGTTATATAACTTAAAGCCTTTCTCGACAAATCGACTATTCAACATAAATAAAATTTTTCAATTCGAACCAGTGGTTACTGAGATTAGCGCGTACAAACAAACAAATAAACTCTTCAGCTTTATAATATTAGTATAGATTCAGGACGTCCCAGGATACTACAAAAAATAGGACATGTCCTGGGAAAGCGGCAGGAAAGCACCACTCTACATCTGTTTTTTTTTGTAATGAATGATAATGTACTGGTGCACCCGCCTGCGCTAACGGTTTACGCTGGCGGGGCACCAGTGGAGGATGATAAGATGAGCATGAGCTCGGGTCAGTTAGCACATCGTGATAAATTCACCAGGAATTTATTACGATGGTTTCCAGAGCCGCGTGGAGGTTAACCTAACATTGTATATTGCTGGCAATTGTGTTTCTATCCTCATCATTAACAATCCCTTTAGAATTAAATGAAGGCAAACCACAATGCCATGACTACCTCAAATATTATTATTTAATTCTTATTATATAAAAAAAACTTCTATTCAAAAGAGCATCACACAAGTTTCTTGCTCATTCTTCTTGTAATGAGTCTGTATTCCAAATGAGTGGTAGAATAAAAAATCTTGACTATTCAAAGTGCTTATATTAAGTTTATTTGAATAAAGATTATTTCTATTTCAAGAAATAGTCCTACCATTTTGTGTGCTATCCGGTTAGTACGTCATAGTGTCGCCGGCCATTGAAGGTTATTATATCCGGATTTATGTTATACGAGTTTTTGCCCGCGGTTTCGCTTGCGTTTATTTATCCCCTTAGGGGTGGAATTTATCAAAATCCTTTCTTAGGGGATGCCTACGTCATAGTAGCTTTATGCAAGCAAAGTCTCAGCCCGATCGATTTAAAATTGACAAAGTTTCATACAAAATATTAATTTATTTATTCCCCATATTTAATCCCCTTGGGGGTAAAATTAATCTAAATCCTTTCTTAGCGGCTGCCTGCGTCATAACATCTACCTGCATGTCAAATTTCAGCCCGATCCGTCCAGTGGTTTGGGCTGTGCGTTGATAGATCACTATGTCAGTCACCTGTGAGTTGTATATTTTTTTATATATAATATAATTAATTAAATATGGTTTTCTTCACCAGACAACAGCGGATAAGAAGAATAAGCTGTCCTGGGACATATACTACTGGATAGGCAGTGAGTCCACGCAAGACGAGTCGGGGGCCGCGGCTATATACAGCGTCGGCCTCGATGACAAGTTCAACGGTGCTGCTGTACAGCACAGGGAGACACAAGGATATGAAAGCCAGCAATTCACGGCCTTATTCCCATCTGGTAAGTGTCTATTTTGCTTGTAATATATATATATATTGGGGATTTATTTAAAAGTAAATGTAACTGGCAGCCTTCAAATATGTGTGTTGCCATGTCGAACAAAAAAAAAGATAGTTGAAAAAAAAATTCAAAACAACAGAAACATTAGCACATTTTATTTTTGTTTCATTTCATATAAATATAATTTTAAATTTTAAATGTATCAACCATCCCTCAAATCCTCGATCAGGTTTAAAAAGTGAGTTTATAGAAAATATGCAATGTACAACCTTATTCTGATCTGATAAGTGTCTATTTTGCTTGCAATGTTACTAATATTATAAACGCGAAAGTTTCTCTATTTAGATGGATGTCTGTTTGTTATTATTTCACGCAAAAACTACTCGACTGATTTTGATGTAACTTTACAGTAATATAGTTTATGCATCAGAATAAAACATAGGCAATAAATATTATGTAAATTGGGCGAAATAAAATGATAAGTGCCAAGTAAGTGTGATGCAGACAAAGCTGCGCGAATCAGCTAGTAAATAATATGTATATGTATATAATTAGTGTATTTATTGTATTACAAAATAGGTCAATTCAATTAATGTATGTATGTACCCGTAATTATGTGTATTTTTTTATTACCTATAATGTTATCTAATATATATAACTCAAAGGTGACTGACATAGTGATCTATCAACGCACAGCCCAAACCACTGGACGGATCGGGCTGAAATTTGGCATGCAGGTAGATGTTATGACGTAGGCACCCGCTAAGAAAGGATTTTGATTAATTCTACCCCAAGGGAATAAAATAGGGGATGAAAGTTTGTATGAAACTTTGTCAATTTTAAACCGATCGGGCTGAGACTTTGCACGCATAAAGCTACTATGACGTAGGCATCCCCTAAGAAAGGATTTTGATAAATTCCACCCCTCATAAATTAACGCGAGCGAAGCCGCGGACAAAAGCTAGTTTTATTATAATTCTTTTAGCAGCATTCAAGTATCTCTGCAGCTCAAAGGTGTACTTTGATGTGTGACTGGGAGAGAATGCTGTAGCATTTGGTCCACCTTTTGTACCAATTCTAGTGGTCACAATAAAGCAAAATAAAATATATCTAGGTACACCTTGCGTTTTTCTTTTTTCGGATTACTCTAATGCTGTCGGCCGCAGCTGGCCTTTACAGCTTCACCGGACGATAGGGACGAGTGCAGATGGCACTCCAAACCACAGGAAGGACTAGTATTTACAATTCTTGCTTCTCAATACATTTATGAAAATAGCATCTATACCAGAAGGAATATAGACAATTTCAAAAGAGTTAGTGATTGCACCAATAAAAGCTTACGTAACAATAACAAACTGATTTTACCTAAATGTCGTTTGGCTAAAGTTAGTAATTCGTTTTATGGCAATTGCGTAAGGTTTTACAATAAAATACCAGAGTCTGTTATAAATCTACCAGAAAAAAGATTTAAATGTCAAATAAAACAGTTCCTTTGCAAAAAAGCTTACTTTAAAATTGAAGAATTCGTTAACGATAATAATGTTTTTATAGAAAAACTTTAAATCCATAGCACTGACAATATTATCTGATTACACTAATAATGAGTGCGTAGCGACTTCTATGTTGATTATCGCATGCCTCTTACTTGTTATACTGTAATTATTTATATAAAAAAAACATCTATTAAAAAGAGCAACACACAAATTTCTTGCTCATTCTTCTTGTGATGAATCTGCATTCTGAATGAGTGGTAGAATAAAAATATGACTATCAAAATATGACTATAAAAGTGCTTGTAATGAGTTTATTTCTATTATTTCTATTTCTATTTCTATTATTCCTATTTCTATTAAGATGATGAAACCTAACATGGTAGTACCATGTGACTACTTAGTTTAGTTTTATTAAGACCGAAGGAAGGTTTAAAAGCTGCGTAATTAAAAACTGTGTTAATTGCTACAATTGCGTACATCATCCTATTACTGAAGTATTGTATTGTGATATTCAATTGTTAATTGCTACAACTTCTGCTCTGAGTCGCAATAAAAACAATTGACCACAACTGCCTGTAATTGTTCACTTTAATTAAACTAAAAACATTAAATTAATAGAATAGAATAGAATAGAATAGAACATCATTTATTCAAATAAACTTACATTGAAGCACTTTTGAATAGTCATTACATTTTTTTTAATCTACCGCTCGTTCGGAAAGCTGTCTCATCACAAGAAGAACGAGCAAGAAACTTGCGTGTTGCTCTTTAAATAATTTTATTATTACTTTACATTTTTAAGTTTAAGTGTGTGAATACAAACCACCAATTAGCACTAATTCTATTAAATACTCAAATAGAAAAAATATTGAATATATAACCAACTGGTTAAACAATTAATAAGAGGAAATCAGTCATAGTGATTAGAGCAGACCAGTCCCTACAAGCAGCACCCGTTCACGAGTATGACGGATGAGCCAGCCATCACTGCGCTCGACCATATTTTAGGGAGCCCAATGACCCGCCCACCACGCCGCCACAAGTCTGGACATTTTAGTGAGCATGACTACTCAAAACACTAGACTACGTCAAAGCTACTTACAATTGCTATCTGATAGTTATAGTTTTCACATTTTACATAAGAATGCATGCGGCAATCAATACAAAAACCGCTACGCTTTCATATTTCTAAAATCAATCAATTAAATCAAGAAAGCAATGAGAAAATTAAATTAAAATCTCCTTGAACTTGTATGTAATAGAGAATAGATTGCACGTCTCTGCAAAAAAACATATTATCAATATTATAAACTCGAGTTTGAGAGTACTGAGTATGGATGGATGTTTGTTAGTCTTTTACGCAAAAACTACTAAACGGATTTCAATGAAACCTTACAGTAATATAGCTTATACATCAAAGTAATATATAGGCTATAAATTTCACGCGCATGAAACCGCGGGCAAAGCTAGTAGTTCATGAAACAAAATTGTAAAAAAAAACGACTTATAAGACAATCAAAACAACTGTGCACATAAAATTACTTTAAGTTTTATGAATTTACTAACTGTGCACGCGATTTCACTCGCGAAATTTATAGCCTATGTGTTATTCTGATATATAAGCTATATTACTGGAAAGTAATCAAAATCCGTCCAGTAGTTTTTGCGTGAACGAGTAACAAACATTGATGGATCCATACTCACAAACTTTCACGTTTATAATATTAACTTGCTTTTGCCCGCGGCTTCGCTCGCGTTTATTTATCCCCTTAGGTGTGGAATTTATTAAAATCCTTTCTTAGGGGATGCGTCTACGTCATATTAGATTTACACATGCAAAGTATCAGCCCGACCGGTTTAAAATTGACAAAGTTTCATACAAACTTTCATCCTCTATTTTATCCCCTTGGGGGTAGAATTAATCAAAATCCTTTCTTAGCGGATGCCTACGTCATAACATCTACCTGCATGCCAAATTTCAGCCTGATCCGTCCAGTGGTTTGGGCTGTGCGTTGAGTATATCTAAATATATATAACTCAATGGTGACTGTTGAGTTATATATATTTAGATAACAAGCTTTTTTACATTAAGGCCTCCGGTGATAATGAGCATTGTAGCTTCGGCTGCAGCAATACACCGAGTTCTTTTAGCTATTAGCTAATAAAAAAAAAAAACTTGACGTTCACAAGCGGCTAAAATATCCTACATTAATAAATAATCTTTGAAATATTTAAAAGATGGCCTTTTTTCTTCCAATGGTCGCGGGTTCGATTCTTCGCACGCGAACATTTGCCTTCATGAATGTATTGAGTCCACATTACTAACAATTCACTTCCCCCTTTTCATCCAGGTGTACAATACCAGAATGGCGGATACCCTACAGCATTCCGTCACGTGACCACCAATGCTGGAGCCGAGAAGCGCCTCATCCAAGTCAAGGGCAGGAGAAACGTACGGGTTCGCCAAGTGAGTGTATTAGCTGATCAGATTATTACATAGCCCAAAAATCCAGAACTTTCCAGGCCCAAAACATATAATAATGGGATTGTCCATTTGACCCCACCGATCGATCCCCCGTCCAATTCAACCGGGGATCGAAATTACGACGGCCTGAGCCGAGGTTCGAACCCTAGTGGTGCCCTCAGACTAAAGTCGTATCTGTCGGGCAGGAGTTGGCCTTCAGCCGCTCCATAAGTCCTTATAACGTCTGGTGAAGCTGTAAAGGCCAGCTACGGCCAACAGCATTAGAGTAGTCCAAAAAAAAAAAAGTAAGACTTGAAAGGGGGGGCGAAAATAGTTTGGTAAAAATCACGAAAATATCACAAGGAGAAGGGGGAGTGTGGAGATATCACGTGTATCTACTTTTATGGCAATCAAAAACAACCTGCAACCCAGTGTAGACATTTTTATCATGGTCCTTAATCTATATATATATAAAAATGAATGCTGTTCGTTACTCTCACTGAACGGAACGGCTGAACCGCACGCATGTCCAATACACTGAACATTATATTTATTATATACACCTTCAGGTGGACCCGAGCATCTCGTCAATGAACAAAGGCGACTGCTTCATCCTGGATGTGGATCATGACGTTTATATATATGTGGGCCCCAACTCCAGGAATGTGGAGAAGCTGAAGGCGGTCTCTGTTGCTAACCAGATCAGAGATCAAGACCATGTGGGTCGAGCTCGGGTTGAAACCATAGGTATGTATTTTTGTTTTAGTGTACTCCGATCGATCCCCCGTCTAATTCAAATGGGATCGAAATTATGACGGCCTGAGCCGAGGTTCGAACCCCTAACGGTGCCCTCAGACCGAAGTCTTATCCGTCAGGCGGGAGTTGTCCTTCAGCCGCTCCAGACGTCCTTCCTTTGGTTTGGAGTGCCATCTGCACTCGCCCCCTATCGTCAGTTGAAGCTGTAAAGGCCAGCTGCGGCCAACAGCAGAGTAGTCCGAAAATAAAATGTAGTTTTAACATACCAGCTGACCCGCTATACTAAAGTACGTGTAGTTTTTGCGTGAAAGAATATTCCATCCAAAAATTGGATGTCTTTTTGATGTATCGTATGATACGATACATCAAAAAGACATCCATCCATCCATACTCACAAACTTTCGCGTTTATTATATTAGTAAGATGTATCATAACAATAATAATCTCAGGACAATTCACACAGCGCCATCTAGATCCAAGTTAAGCTAGCTAAAGCTCGTGTTATGGGCATTAGACAACTGATATAAACACATAGATTTGTTTCATAAATACATACATATTATACATAGAAAACATCCTGACCGACACAAATAATCATACTCATGAATACAAATGTTTGTGTCAAGGAATCGACCCCGCGACCATCGGAATTGAGGTGGTATGTTACACCACTAGACCACCGAGGCTATCAAATAATAAACGAAAGTTTATCTATAACTAAGATCCCCTTTTCAGACCAATACTCCAGCGACGTGGATGTTCAGAAGTTCTTCACTGCTCTTGGCTCCGGTGCTAAGGACAGCGTGCCTGACGCCACCGCCGGTGGTGATGACCAGGTAATCATCACCTAGTTGGATTGTTCTTGATTTATTTTATTGGGGGAGTTTGGGCTATCGTCAGGTGCTAAGACCTGTAGCACTGCGACTTATGTAGATCTATTGTGCTCGCCCTTTCTCAGAATTCGCTACCTAGACCCGTCAGGGACAAGAATTGAAGGATATTCTTAGCTGCGATGGTTTTTATTTCCTCAGGATAGAGTGTAAATTTTCCAAAGGAGATATTTCGTTTATGCATGAGAGGGCTACAACCACATACGATGTGTAGTGGCGTTTCCTCTTCTGCTCGGAAAAATCTACAGATGTTTAGCTAAGGCCTAATTTCGCCATGTGGTTATTCAAAAAACAACATTGGCGGTGATCTACCAAGATATTTTAGATCAAAACTAACAATATATTGATGGAAGATAGTCGAAATATTATTCAATAATGTTGAATATTTTTTGGTTTTTTAATAATCGAGTTAAATATTATGTTTATGGGGCCGAAAACCTGGCCGTTTTTTTTTCGGACTTTCTAATGCTGTTGGTCGCAGCTAGCCTTTACAACTTCACCGGACGATAGCGGGCGAGTGCAGATGGCACTCCAAACCACAGGAAGGACTTATGGAGTGGCTGAAGGACAACTCCCGCTTGACGGATACGACTTTATTGTGATATCGCTAGGGGTTCGAACCTCGGCTCAGACCGACGTAATTTCTATCCCCGTTTGTATTGAACGGGGGATCGGAGATCTACATCTGTAACATTTCTACTTCCAGAGCTCCTTTAGTCATCGCTAGGGGTTCGAACCTCGGCTCAGGCCATCATAATTTCGATCCCCGTTTGAATTGGAAGGGGGATCAATCATAGATCTACATCTGTATTATTTTTACTTCCAGAGCTTCGAGAGGAACGAAGAACAGAATGTAATTTTAACTGAAGTGTCCGACAGCAGCGGGAAATTGGTAGCGACACCCGTGTCGAGACCATTCCGACAGGAACAACTCAAAAAGCAGGTAACTGTAACTGTAAAATTGACACACCTGTACATATAAATATATATAGGCTGTATCAATCAGCTGGTATATATACATATCTATAGGGAGTACCAATCAGCTGATATATATACATATCTGTAGGGTGTACCAATCAGCTGGTATATATACATGTCTATAGGGTGTACCAATCAGCTGGTATATATACATGTCTATAGGGTGTACCAATCAGCTGATTTATATACATATCTATAGGGCGTACCAATCAGCTGATATATATATACATATCTATAGGGAGTACCAATCAGCTGATATATATACATATCTATAGGGTGTACCAATCAGCTGGTTGTTAGCACATAAATCCTCTTTTGGAATAAAAGCCATAAAATAATTGTAATTAAATCTAAATAAAAACTTCTTTTCTTTCTGTCAACACGGTCTATCATTTATTATTAATATTATTGATTTTAAATGCATTATAAATAGATCACAGTTAGAAACACAAATAAAATTGGTGCCAAAATCCATATAATAAAATGATTAATCTATCAGTGCAAGGATCAACAGTTGACCTCAAGAGACTTCGTTTGTTGTAAGGCAACCATTACCCGGTTGGAAACGTTTCTCTCATCAGGGGTTGACACAGAATCAAATAATGACATCTCCGTATGGGTATTTTAGAGGATGCTTATAAAAAATATACCGCTATTAATACGGACATCATGTAACACGATCCTGATGATGATGAGGATGAAGTTCGTATGGAGGAACGGTATTTTGAATTATGTGCTGCATTAAATCATCACACCAAATCTATTCCATCAACAATTTCATCATCAATATCAAAGTTGCCGCCTATAGAAATTAAAGTTTTTGATGGTAAAGAACTTTCCGAGTATATACCTTTCATCGAGATCTTCACTGCTGTCATCCACAAAGACCATAATCTCCGTGACATACAAAAGTTAATATATCTGAAGAAATATCTACGCATCGAGCCACTCTCTACAATTGAAATTACCTCTTTGCAACGATTCATACCAAAATGCGCTGCTCCTTTTGAAGAATATGTATAATAATCCGTTCTTATTAGTAAGTAATCATATAAATAGTTTGTTACATATAAATCCATTTCATAGAGGTACCGCATGTAATTACAGAAATATAATTGTTAAGGTTAAACAAAAGTAGATAGATAGATAGATAGAATATACTTTATTTGCAACGTACAGTAAAGAAGAAGCACAAACAATATAACAAAAGACACATGTATCGTTACAAAAGTAGCAGGTTTAAAAAATTTAAACGAGCCCACAGAATACTGGGACTTATTACTAGTTAATATTATTTGTAGAAAAATTGATCCGTTTACAGTCAAATTCTATCACTGCGACAGAGACCACACTGTCGAAACCCACAATATCGGATATTTTGTTGTTTTTAGATAAAAGAGCCATGGCTCTCGAATCATGTGGATTAGAACCACCTGAAAATAAATATGTAAATAATTATGTACAGTCATCAGAAAAAAAAAAATTAACATTATTTGCAAGTTATGTTCTCAAAGTCATACGCTTTATAACTGTCCTAAGTTCATAAACGTGTTGATTTTGTAAATAATAATAATATTTGTAAAATATGTTTATTTTCACATGGTGGTAAGTGTAAATAATATATTCTTTATTGCACTTTTAAATACAGTGGTAAACTTAAACATATACAAAGTGAGCAAACGTGGACTTATCTCTAAGAGAGATCTCTACCAGTCAACCCAACAATGTGGCAACAATAGCTAGTGGTGAGTAGGTAACACCTGTGCAATTAACACTATTATGTTGAAATGTCCAAAAGTTGAGAAAAATAAAACATTTAAAATTCAATAAATATGAGAATGCAATAGTCAAGGTTTATTGGAGGCGAAAAAAGAAAGTTTTAACGAATCCTTCCCCGAGCATATACATATGTAGTGAGACTGTTTTCAAAGAGTCAGTTAGTTCGATAAAAAAGTGTTTTGATATAAAATTGTCATTAATAACAAACATTGATAGTATTAATTCTGCAGATTCGTTTGTTTTAGCTTTGCAACGTTTGTGTCACTTAGAAAAGATATTCAGTAGTAATACATTATATTATAACCTGTTTTGTGATTTAATAAATAAATATTTAAATTTAGATTCCGAAAAAGTTGTGAACCATTGTACGAATAAATAAACTACCCTATCATGGAGTTTTACGTTTAAATATGATTACAAATAAACTACTTGCTGCATTTTATGGAAGTAGAAGAAAAAACTATTCTTCTCACAGCATTAATTATATCCAATGGTTCACCACTAGCTCTCACTAGCTGTTGGGTAAGATAATCAGAAATGTATACATCAAAAGTTGTACTTTTACCGACCAGGATTTAAGTTGTTATTAATATTAAGATTTATTATTCATATTAAGCTAATTATTGTATTTTAATAATTATAATGTTCTTGTATATTTTGCCCTCGCCAATATGTTAGCACATGAAACCTCTTTTTGTATAAAAGCCATAAAATAATTGTAATTAAAAATAAAATAAAAACTTCTTTTCTTCCTGTCAACACGGTCTATCATTTATTATTAATTTTACTGATTTTAATGCATTATAAATACAGTTAGAAACACTAACACTGGTATATATACATATCTATAGGGTGTACCAATCAGCTGGTATATATATGCATATCTATAGGGTGTACCAATCAGCTGGTATATATGCATATCTATAGGTGTACCAATCAGCTGGTATATATGCATATCTATAGGGTGTACCAATCAGCTGATATATATACATATCTATAGGGTGTATCAATCAGCTGGTATATATACATATCTATAGGGTGTATCAATTTCTTAGTGAATTCGTCCGAGCGGAATGTAACTTTTTTTAATAAAAGCTTAGCAATAAGGCCGCCTTTTGAACTTGTATATTTTATACCCTTCGGTGGAGTGATAGACTTGTCTTTGCGGGTGAAAATCACAAAGTTATTATTATATTATTTCTTTCTAAGGACGTGTACATATTGGACACCATCAGCGGGGGCGTGTACGTGTGGGTCGGGAAACAATCCTCAGAGAGGGTAAGTTATATTTACTTACTCTATAATTTTTTAGATACGATTTATTTTTAATAATAATACTTATAATAACCGCCTATACTAATGATCTACTACATTACATTAGTAATACTATAAGTTAAAATATTAGGACGATCTGCAATATTCTTTTTTTTTTTGGTTCGTTTATCGTTTATCGGAAAGGCAAAGGGAACTGTGCCCATACAGCCATGTATGCAGATTTTGATATTCCTAATTTTCTTAGTTTATTTTATTTTTTGAATTTTTGATAATACCATGTTGATGTTTTTAAATACTTAGTATATTGTATATGCCTTGATTTGTTCATTAATGTAGTTGTACAGTGCAAAAAATGTTCTTGAGTCTCCTAATAATTCCTGAAGTGATCGCGGGACATGTCCCACAAGCAATTTCCCGGACAGAACTCGCTTCAAAAAAAATCCTAAGACATCGGAACATACACTCCCCAAGCCCCAAAACTTTCCTACACAACGAGCGACTACCCATACCCATCCGGACGACTCACCACAGTAAAGACCACACCCCGCGCTCCCGCCACATTTTTACTTCACTACACTTTTTTTTTTTTCACTACACAAGTGTCAACATACAGACAACGGCTAAGTCACAAAGTCTAAACATACTGACAACGGCTGTATGTTTAGACTATTTGCCTTTTCTATATAAATAAAAATAAAAAATAAAAAAAATGTGGCGGGAGCGCGGGGTGTCTTTACTGTGGTGGGTACTCTCACAATCGTTTTGGTATTTTAGTTCTATTTACGTTTTTCAGATATGTTCTACTATAACATAATTTCTCTTTTCCCTACCAATATTCAATTTTCGCGCCAAAATTGACATTTCTTTTTTTTTTTTTTGCAGGAAAAAACTGAAGCTTTGACAAAGGCCCAACAGGTTATAACATCAAAGAGCTATCCGTCTTGGGTATGTTTCCATATATAATTATTTTTGTTTTTTACTGCTTATCCGATCGCTGGTTCGATTCCTCGCACGAGACAAACATTTGTATTCATGAGTATGATTATTTGTATCGGTCTGGGTGTTTTCTATATATAATATATATGTATTTACGAAAAAAATATATCTATGTATTTGTATCAGCTGTCTAGTACCCATAACACAAGCTCTGCTTAACGTGGAACTAGATGGCATTGTGTAAATTGTCCAGGGTTATTTATTTATTTATTTCTGTTGTCTAGTAACCATAACACAAGCTCTGCTTACCGTGGGACTAGATGGCGCTGTGTTAATTGTCCAGGGGTATTAATTTATTTATATCAGTTGTCTAGTACCCATAACACAAGCTCTGCTTACCGTGGGACTAGATGGCGCTGTGTTAATTGTCCAGGGTTATTTATTTATTTATATCAGTTGTCTAGTACCCATAACACAAGCTCTGCTTACCGTGGGACTAGATCATCATCTGCTTCTTCCTTATCCCATTTATTTGGGGTCGGCGTAATATGTTTTTCGCTTCCATTCATCCCTGTTCGCAGTCATCGCGTTATTTACTTCCTTTCTTACCATATCATCTTTCACACAGTCCATCCATCTCTTTTTTGGCCTTCCTCTGCCCTTATAACCATCCACATTCATTTGTAACATCTTTCTTAAAATATTATCTTCGTTCCTACGCATTACATGTCCATACCATGATAGACGATTACTCTTCAACCTCTCTGACACCGGTGCCACTTTCATACTTCCTCTAATGTATTCATTCTTTATCTTATCCATTCTTGTCACACCACACATCCACCTCAACATTCTCATTTCAGTTGCATGCAGTCGTCTTTCATCCGTCGCCTTTACGGGCCAGCACTCTGATCCATACAAGACAGCAGGCCGGATCATGGTCTTGTAAATTTTCCCCTTAAGCTTAAGGGGAACACGCGAGTCACACGTCGTTGCCGTAACCTGCCGCCACTTCATCCATCCTGCGTTAATTCTATGCTTTATGGCCCTGTCTAATTCACCATTGCTTTGGAGGAGAGAACCTAGATACCGGAAATCGGAGCAAATCGGTAATGGAGCACCATTTAGTGATATGGCTGCAGAGCCGGAAAGACCGCCAAAATCACAAAACATGTATTCCGTTTTGGAAACACTAATTTTTAAGCCCCCACTTTCCAGCTTTTGCTGCCACATCGCCAATCTACTCTGTATCCCAGCCCCCTCCTCACCAACGAGCACAATGTCATCTGCAAATAGTATGCACCAGGGTGCCTCTTCTTGTATCTCCGACGTCAAGGCATCCATTATCAACAAAAAGAGGTACGGGCTTAAAGCCGATCCCTGATGCAAGCCTACAGCCACACTGAACTCGCTGGTGTTTCCAGCGGCCGACCGCACATATGTACGAGGTTGACTGTACATAGCACGAATTAACTCCACATACTTCACTGGCACTCCTCTATCTTTCAAGGCCCACCACAAAACCGGTCGGGGTACTTTATCGTACGCCTTTTCCAGGTCGACAAACACCATGTGCAAGTTCTTGTGAGCACGTCTGTATTTTTCACACAGCTGACGCAGTGAAAATATGGCATCTGTGGTACTTCGGCCTGGCATAAATCCAAACTGGTTTTGGGTGATATCCGTCTCTTCAATCGCAATCGCTTCTCTATCACTTTCTCCCATACTTTCATACTGTGCGACATTAGCTTTATTCCCCGATAATTATTGCAATCCTGTACATCACCCTTATTCTTAAAAATGGGCACTAGTGAGCTATTGCACCATTCCTCAGGGATCGCCACTTCTTGCAATAATTTATTAAAGAATAAAGCCAGCCACCTGCAGCCATCATCTCCTAATAATTTCCATACTTCTACTGGTATACCATCTGGCCCGACTGCTTTCCCATTCTTCATACTTTTCACTGCTTTTCTTACTTCATCCATACTAATCTCATTCACTACACCAATGTTTACTGAGACATCTTTGAGAGCATCATCCCACACATTTTCTTCATTCATAAGTTTATTGAAATATCCCTTCCAACGTGCTTTTATGTCATCATCTTTCAACAAAATTTGTCCTGTATCATCTTTTATACATTTTACATGCTTCATATCTTTCGCTCTTTCTTCTCTCATTTTGGTTATCCGGTATAGTTCTTTTTGGCCACTAGGGTCATCAAGTGACCTATATATTTTATCTAGGGCTCTTGTTCTGGCTATTGCAACTACTTTTTTTGCTTCCTTTTTAAATTTTTTATACATTATCATTCTCTGTAGGTACCTTTTGCCCATCTTTGTAAGGATTCTTCTTTTCTTTTAATATTTTTTGTACTTCTTCACTCCACCACCATGTATCCTTATCTATTATACACTTTCCCTTACTTTCTCCAAAGACCTGCTTTGCTACCATTCTTATACAATGTGCTATTTCATCCCAACATTCATTTACTGTTTTTCCTTTCATGTCTTTCATACTAATCATTTTATCTACAACTTCTTTCTTGAATCTGCTTGCATACTCGTTTTTTTCTATCATTCGCCATTTAGTTCTAGGTGGGGGGCATTTCCTATTTTTATTTATCTGTACTTTAATTTTTATTTCTATTAGTAATAGTCTGTGTTGTGTAACTAGATCTTCCCCCGGCAGCACTTTACAGTCTTTCACAGTCCATACCGTGGGACTAGATGGCGCTGTGTTAATTGTCCAGGGTTATTTATTTATTTATATCAGTTGTCTAGTACCCATAACACAAGCTCTGCTTACTGTGGGACTAGATGGCGCTGTGTTAATTGTCCAGGGTTATTTATTTATTTATATCAGTTGTCTAGTACCCATAACACAAGCTCTGCTTACCGTGGGACTAGATGGCGCTGTGTTAATTGTCCAGGGTTATTTATTTATTTATATCAGTTGTCTAGTAACCATAACACAAGCTCTGCTTACCGTGGGACTAGATGGCGCTGTGTTAATTGTCCAGGGTTTTTTATTTATTTATATCAGTTGTCTAGTACCCATAACACAAGCTCTGCTTACCGTGGGACTAGATGGCGCTGTGTTAATTGTCGAGGGTTATTTATTTATTTATATCAGTTGTCTAGTACCCATAACACAAGCTCTGCTTACCGTGGGACTAGATGGCGCTGTGTTAATTGTCCAGGGATATTTATTTATTTATATCAGTTGTCTAGTACCCATAACACAATTTCTGCTTACCGTGGGACTAGATGGCGCTGTGTTAATTGTTCAGGGTTATTTATTTATTTATATCAGTTGTCTAGTACCCATAACACAAACTCTGCTTAGCTTGGGACTAGATAGCGCTGTGTTAATTGTCCAGGGTTATTTATTTATTTATATCAGTTGTCTAGTACCCATAACACAAGCTCTGTTTACTGTGGGACTAGATGGCGCTGTGTTAATTGTCCAGGGTTATTTATTTATTTAGATCAGTTGTCTAGTACCCATAACACAAGCTCTGCTTACCGTGGGACTAGATGGCGCTGTGTTAATTGTCGAGGGTTATTTATTTATTTATATCAGTTGTCTAGTACCCATAACACAAGCTCTGCTTACCGTGGGACTAGATGGCGCTGTGTTAATTGTCCAGGGATATTTATTTATTTATATCAGTTGTCTAGTACCCATAACACAAGCTCTGCTTACCGTGGGACTAGATGGCGCTGTGTTAATTGTCCAGGGTTATTTATTTATTTATATCAGTTGTCTAGTACCCATAACACTAGCTCTGCTTACAGTGGGACTAGATGGCGCTGTGTTAATTGTCCAGGGTTATTATTATTTATTTAATGTAATTAGAATGTCAAATAATCTCAATACCAATTTAGTGGTAAATGGTAAACGGTTTTTTTTTCATTTACGAGAAAGGAATAATGCACCCGCCTGTGCTAACGGTACCTACATATACGCTGGCGGGGCACCAGTGGAGGATGATAAGATGAGCATGAGGTCAGGGCAGTTATGTCGTGGCAAAACCACTAAGAACTTATCAAGATGGTTTCCCTATAGTATAACCATATATATAAATAATATAAGTAGATTTTTTTAATTGTTCTACGTGTGTATGTATGTATGTGTATATGTATATATGTAATATACATATATATGTAAAATGTAGCTTGGTAAATGTGTAAATGTAATAATGGTTGTCAAGAAATGTTTTTCTTTCTTTCTTTCCTATAGGAAGCCCTCATTACTAATGATCTACATCATTACTGATGAGGCCTTACAAACCCATTGCTAGCACCGTACCATGTCAAGTCGATCTCCACGCGGATCCCCCTGGAAACTGTCGTGATAAATTCTTAGTGAATTTATCACGATGGGTTAACTGACTTGACTGCTCATCTTATCCTCCACTGGTGCCCCGCCAGCGTATACCGTTAGCGCAGGCGGGTGCACCATTCCATTATCATCCAGTCAGACATGGCATATTGTTAGGAGTGGGTGTACTACTCCCATTACTAATAATCCCTCCTCTATATGTACATATATATATATATATTAAATTTTGCAGGTGAAAGTAACCCGTATACCTCAGGGAACAGAGCCAGCTATATTCAAACAGTACTTCACCACGTGGAGAGATGTCAACATGTCGCATTCTAGAGTCATCTAGTCATGTTTGACTTACTGGTTAAAAATATTGTAAGTAATTTCAACACTATTAACAAAATAACAATAATCTCAGGAGATTATAAAAAAATCACGCTTATATTTGAGAAATACTGGAATATTCTACAGTGGAGAGGAATAAAATATAATATATAATTCTAATTCAAAAATCATTTATTCATGTAGGACATTTTAGCCGGTTATTAACGTCAAGTTTTTACGTTATAATTTTTTTCCCTACCGTCCAGTTCAATATTCTACATATATATATTTATAATTATATTATATATATCACTAATAATCTACATATTTCCTAATATATCACAATAAATTCAAATTCAAAATTCATTTATTCATGTAGGACATTTTAGCCGCTTATGAACGTCAAATTTTTACATTATAATTTAATATTAAGTCATCATCATCATCATCATCATCATCATCATCATCATCATCATCATCATCATCATCATCATCATCATCATCTGCTTCTTCCTTATCCCATTTATTTGGGGTCGGCGTAATATGTTTTTCTCTTCCATTCATCTCTGTTCGCAGTCATTCCGTTATTTACTCCATTTCTTACTATATCATCTTTCACACAGTCCATCCATCTCTTTTTCGGTCTTACTCTACCCTTATAACCATCCACATTCATATGTAGAATTTAATATTAAGTATTAACTAATAATATATATGCTAGCTGATCCCACATGTGTTGTTTTGTCATATACATTAATCGCCGTTAAAAAATAGGGGTTGATGGTAGAAGGGTGAAAATCTAGGGTACTGGATTTTTTTATAATTAAAAAAAAAACAATAAATAAAAAAAAATATTAAAAATTACATCACCTTATCAGATAAGGCTATGAAAAGTAGATAGTAGCCTATTCTTAGACTGAATATTCATAAAAATCGGTGAAACCGACTGATTAGGTTGTTAATAGCGCTTTGTAATTTGTACTAGAATTTTATATATTACTAGCTGTCCCGGCAAACGTAGTTTTGACTTAAAATAAAAAAAAATTAAGGGTGGACTACCCCTAACATTTAGGGGGGGATGAAAATAAATATTGGCCGATTCTCAGATCTACTCAATACGCTCACAAAATTTCGTGACAATCGGTCAAGCCGTTTCGGAGGAGTATGGGAGCGAAAACTGTGACACGAGAATTTTATATATAAGATATATACTTCGTCACGTGGAGAGACGTCAACGTGTCGCATTCTAGAGTCATCTAAACCTTACATGAAACCTCAAAACGATCAACAAAACATAAAAATATGCAAAATTATGTTATTACTAGCTTTGCCCGCGGCTTCGGTCACGTTAATTTATCCCCTTGGGGTGGGATTTATCAAAATTCTTTCTTAGGAGATGCTTACATCATAACATCTACCTGCATGCCAAATTTCAGCCCGATCCGTCCAGTGGTTTGGGCTGTGCGTTGATAGATCACTATGTCAGTCACCTTTGAGTTATATATATTTAGATAATTGAATTAAAAACAAATATATGTGTAATAAAATATTTAAGTATTAACTAAAATAAAAATTAATTAAATATAAAATTGTACTTTAAGACTTTAGATTTAAAGTTTAATATATTTTTTTCTTTATTACAGGTATCAAAATTGTATGCAGGAACAGTTTATTAACAGATATAAAGTAATAATTTAATACATATATTACATCTATAGGCTACGGTAACCATTTACCATCAGATGGGCCGTATGCTTGTTTGCCACCATAGTAGTATAAAAACATCATATTTATGAATATTAACCGACCACAAAATTAAAAATAAATTAGTTTACTAACGAGTATACTTAAAACTAATTTACTAAAAATCCAATGAGTAATTCATAGTGTAACTTAATTTAGTTGCAATATTTTAGTTTATTTTATCTTCGACTATTGTATCTAAACTTGATTTATTCTCACTTTTTTATAATATAATTTGTTGTTTTTTTAATAATAAATAAATTTATTTTATAATGAATGTTGTTAATAATTATATTTCAATGTGTTTTTTATAAAATAAATTCTAGATAAAGTTGCTTTAAATAAAACATTTTTACGATGCTCTGTTTCTTTATTTACTATTAATGCCAGCGATTGCACTCGCATGAAATTTATAGCCTGTCTTATTCAGATGTATAAGCTATATTACTGTAAAGTTACATCAAAATCCGTTCAGTAGTTTTTGCGTAAGAGTAACAAACATCCATACTCACATACTTTCGCGTTTATAATATTAGTAACATATTTACCAGAGGTACACCGTACAAACTCGTCCGCGTGTGTACCTCAGTCCCACATATTTCAGCCTCCAAACAGCTTACAGTCTTAAATTCGAAAACCATGTCCTAGATTGTGTGGGGAATTGCTTCTACAGACTAAAGATATTATACAAAATTCGAAATTATCTTTCAACTGATCTACGTGTTCGACTGTGCGATTCTCTGATATTGTCCAAGCTGAGTTACGGTTTAGCTGTTTTCGGTTCATGTACACTAGCTAGATCACGGCGGCTTATCCAACGTGTACAAAATGCATGCGCCCGTTTTTGCTTCCGTATACCACCGCGTAGTCATGTCTCTCCTTATCTCAATAATGCTAAACTACTAAATTATGTCTTCACGTTACAACCTTTATTTTGCGACTTTGTTGTTTGATGTCATTGAATCCAAAATGCCTGATTACCTTTATAGAAAACTTGTGTGGTCTGGCAATCAGCATGCTTTTAAAACCAGGGCTTCGTTGTATCGACTAGTGACTCCAGCACATCGGACTACTGCCTTCAGAGGCAGTTTCAGATATATGGCCTCCAAGTGTTGGAATAACTTACCTCCTCCTATTCGTAATATAAAAACTAAAGTGAATTTTAAAAACCTTTTAAAAAAACACTTATTGTCTGAACAACTGACTTTAAATAGGAGGTCCTTTATCTGAGGAGTCTTTTTTTTCAACGACCGAAGTCGGTAAGCATGGTCAGGAACAATAATGTCTGACTCACGGCGCGTTTAGCCAGCGACCTTGTATATGCAACAACTATTATTTATGTACGTAGTATGTATCTATAGGTTAACAATATATGTATACATAACACACCACTTCATTTTTAATCTATTTGTATATTGTATAATGTTTTGTAATAGTATAATTTTTTAAGAGCTCGAAGTGTAATATATAAACATTCACGTATATATGTATGTAAGTATGTATTTAATTATAGGAGCCAACAGAATATCAGCGCTGCAGACTTATCTGTAGCTTCATGCTGAGTTGGTTGCCTCTTCATCATTGCGACACATAAAGCCACCTCCATTTTTATTTTATTTTGTAATATTATATTTCTGTATTATTTAATCTGTAAACTTTATTTCTATTTATAAAATGTATCTCATGTATGCTATGTGTTTGTAATGGTTGAATAAAGAACTTATCTATCTATCTATCTATCTATCTATCTTACAAAGCAAGCTAAACATAATTGAGTAATGAATAATATTTTCTATTTTTTTTCCATATTATTTATTCGATATCTATTATAATATTATTATCTACCGAGATAGACAATACAAACTCGTCTGCGTGTGTATCTCAGTGTCACCTATTTCAGCCGATAAACAGCTTGCTTTGTAAGCTGTTTATGTTGTAGGGTGCAGATTAGGCAGTGAAATTACAGGATAAGAGGCGTGACATCTGACAGACTTGACATCTTAAATTAACATTCAATCGTAATCCATCTTTACCTAAAAAAAACCCTCCTTATTCTCAGAAGAGAACAATTCACACAGCGCCATCTAGACGCAAGTTAAGTTAGCTAAAGCTTGTGTTATAGAAATAGAAATAATCTTTATTCAAATAAACTCATTACAAGCACTTTTGAATAGTCATATTTTGATTCTACCACTCATTCAGAATGCAGATTCATCACAAGAAGAATGAGCAAGAAACTTGTGTGTTGCTCTTTTTAATAGATGTTTTTTATATAAATAATTACAGTATAACAAGTAAAAGGCATGCGATAATCAACATAGAAATCGCTACGCACTCATTATTAGTGTAATCAGATAATATTGTCAGTGCTATGGATTTAAAGTTTTTCTATAAAAACATTATTATCGTTAACGAATTCTTCAATTTTAAAGTAAGCTTTTTTGCAAAGGAACTGTTTTATTTGACTTTTAAATCTTTTTTCTGGCAGATTTATAGCAGACTCTGGTATTTTATTGTAAAACCTTACGCAATTGCCATAAAATTATGGGCACTAGATAACTGATACAAATATATAGATTTTTTTTTTGTAAATACATACATATACATAGAAAACACCCAGACGGATACAAACAATCATACTCTTAAATACAAATATTTGTACCGTGCAGAGAATCGAACCCGCGACCATCGGATATAATCGTTATTTGAAATTGCAACTAACTATTACTATCACAGATACATACATATTATACATAGAAAACACCCAGACCGATACAAACAAACATACTCATGAATACAAATGTTTGTATTGTGCGAGGATTCGAACCCGCGACCATCGGAAGTAAATCGGTGTGCTAAAACCACTAGACCATTAAGACCGTAATGTGTAGAAATTCAACACCAACAACAACTAGCCCAAAATCATAGTCTAAATAATGTAAATCTTTTAAACTACGCAACTGATTTTAATGCAGTTTTTAGCAATAAATAGTGATTCAAGAGGAAGATTTATAATACATGTACACCCGTGCGAAACCTGGGTGGATAACTAGTTAAATATATAAATACTAGTGTAACATAAAGTCTGTAGTACTAATCAGGGCAGTTACAACATCAACTCTGACTACCTCGTTTTGTATAGCAGTTGTGAAGGTAATCTACCTATACATATACATAAAATTGGAGTGTCTGTTTGTAATATTGAAATAACCGTTTTTTACTACATGCATATGAATATAAATACGGTACATGCACCAAAATAACATTTTTTACAATTTTTGTCTGACTGTCTGTTCAGGCTAATC